CGATCGGCGCGGGCCCCCAACCCCCCCCTCCCCCCCCAGTGGAGTAGGTCTTGGCTGTTTTTTGGCGCCGGATTCGAGCCGGTGGAGTCTCCCCCAGAGGCCGCACTCTTGCAAACAGTCGCACTAAGCAGGGTTCTGGAGCCAGACAAACGGGGGCCACATGCGAACCCTACCCCTACCCCCCACGATTTCTGAGGGGGAGGGTGGGGTTCACTTCGCTCGGGAGCTCCCGAACGGAGTGAACCCCACCCTCCCCCTCAGAAATCGTGGGGGGTAGGGGTAGGGTTCGCATGTGGCCCCCTAGACAACCCCCTCCCCCCCCTTTCCGCCCACTGTCGAAACGCCGAACAACAAAAACGCTCACTCGGCGAAGGCCGCGCTCAGTGCCGCCGCGCGCTCCCTTGGGCGGCTTTCCTGGGGCATTTGGGTGCCCGGGGTGGCCTCCCGGTGGCCTGTCTTCGGGGCGCTCCCGGGCTTCCAGAGGCCTTCCTTGGTTCCCTGAGTGTCGGGGGCGGAAAAGAGGGGGGTGATGACTAGGGGGGGGTGGATATCATGGCGGGGGCCATGATATTTCCCAGATTTCATGGCGCCTCTTCTTATTTCATTACGTCGCTGGCCCCCCCGCTGGGCCTCGCACATGCCGCCAGCCATGATTTGCACCCCCCCCTCTTGAACACCCCCCTCTTGGCCGCTCCCGATGAGTGGCTTGCGGGAACGTCCGCTCTGGTTTTGCGCCGGGCTCTTCCGGTTGCGGCCCGCTGCCATTCGGGCCAAGCGCCGAACGCCTCTCGCGCCCTTTTGCCTCCCGCCCACCCAGGGCAAGCCCCCTCAGCAATAGTTTTCTGTCGGGCCTGTCCCTCTACAGGGGGAATATCCAAAAAGAGTAACAAAAATAGTCAGGGGACTATGTTTTGAATATTTTTGGGCATCTTGTGAGCATTTTTTTGATATTTTTTAGTTTTCGTCCAAAATCCCCCTGTAGGGGGACAGGCCCGACCTAACAATAGTTTGCAGTTCACAGTGGGTGTTGGCCCAGCCACTCGGCGGCGGCACCGCTGCAAAGCGGGGTGTCCGCGAGACGGGTGGCCCCCGACGACGCCTGAGCGTCAACGCCACCGTGACATTATAGCGTTCATGTTGTGCTCAGGGCGGGTTTGGTGGGTGATCACACTCGCCAGCCAATTTGTGATTGTTTCTTTCTTTCTTTTGCTGTTGTTGTTGTTGTTGTTGTTGTTGTTGTTGTTGTTGTTGAACATTATTACTTCTAAAGAATAATTATTGTTGGGACCCCTGGTGCACGACCCCCCCGCCGCGCCTAGGCCGCAGCCTCATTTTCATCATTTTCGTGAGGAAGTCTCAGGCAAAACGGGGGAGTCCGGATCCGGTTGTGTTGTTACGATCGGTTTTCCCTTGCAAAAAATAAGCTAAAGTGGACATTTCTTGTTCTAACATAACCAAACTTCAAGAATCCCTTGCAAAAATAAGGTAAAGTGGACATTCGCGCGCGCAAGACGAAATCCTTCCAAAACCTTAGTTTTCGTAGCGATTTTAACATAAAAACATCAAAAAACCAATGGTTTTTCAAAAAAAAATGTCAACATTTCATCCCGCGCGCTCTTGCGGATTCGTAGGAAACCCAACACTTTTTAAACATTTCTGTCAAACGGGCTTTTGCGAGCAACTTTTTCGAACTTCTGCAACAACGGTTGCGCACCTGCCAGGGCCATCATCCCTGTCAAATAATACCATGCGGGACACATTCGTTTTTTCTTCGCGCGCGCACGCCGTCGTCGTCGGCCGCGGGGCCCTGAATAGTAGCCACGGTCGTCCGCATGCCACGAAGTGAAGTGTCCGAACGTCATAGGGCGGGAAGCTGGGTGTGGGTGGTGGCGAAGAGTCGTTTGGAAATTTGGTAGAGCTTGAACCGGCCCCCCCACAAAGTGGGGGTATTGCCCGCCTCCTATGAAAACCCTGGCACTGGTGAGAACGGTGTGTCCCCACGTGCTAGTAATTGTTGTTGTTGTTGTTGTTGCTGCTACTGTTTTATACTGTGGTGCCTTTGTTGCCCCAGCGCGGCGGTGCAGGGAAGTCATCTCCCTGAACGGAACACCCCTGTAATCTTCTCCCAGTGCCATGCCGTCCTGCCGTTGCAGATGCTTATCATGCTCCTGCTTTTCGCTCGCAGCACTGTTTCCCTTCCTCCGTGAGCACCCTCCGTGAAATAGTCTTCTGGCAGTGTCTCGATGATGTAATGCATTGTAACGTGTCTCATCGCAGTGGGCAAACACATGATCACAGTCGGAGTGTTATCCGATAACTTGCCGCCAGTGGTCCACCCTTTTGCAGAGCTCAGCCTTCGTAGGTACTACACTTGTGCGCGGTATAGGTGCCGAAACAGCGGCCTCGGTAGCAAATCATGGGGGCCTTGCGTACCCTCGTCATTCTGTCTTTAGGGTGCGCCAGCGTCGACTAGCGCCTTGTAATCGATGATGTAGCGCCGATTTAGCTTCGATTAGCGTCGATAGCTGCCGATTCGAACGAGTCATCAAGATGGTAGGGGAGGCTCCTGTGAGTTGCTGGATAAAGCTGCTGCCAGCTGAAACGGAGAGCAACACCTGGCCTGGGGGCTATTTGTGGGGTGTCCAGTGGAAAACGGTGTGCAGGAAGCCTTTTCGATCGTGGGGATTAGGGCTCCCACAATCGCCTCGAGCCAACATTGCTTGAGCCGAGAGTTCTGCGGAGACATCCCTCCTTCCTCTTTCCTCTCCTCCACCCTCCCCTTTCTCCCTACCTCTTCTTCTTCTTCTCCTCCTCCTCCTCCTCCTCCTCCTTCTCCTCTTACGCAATTACGCATAATGAGTGCTGTTCTCCCCTCTCCCCAGACTCAGGCCAGAGTTATTTTCTCCCTCCCGCATTTTATTTTTGCTGTTGTTGTTGCTGCTGTTGCTGCTGCTGCTGTTGTTGTTGTTGTCGTTGTTGTTGTTGTCGTTGTTGTTGTTGTTGTTGTTGTTGTTGTTGTTGTTGTTGTTGTTGTTGTTGTTGTTGTTGTTGTTGTTGTTGTTGTTGTTGCTGCTGCTGTTGTTGTTGTTGCTGTTGTTGCTGCTGTTGTTGTGGTTGTTGTTGTTTGCTGCTGCTGCCGTTTTTTTGAATGTGTGTGTGTGTGCGTATATGTGTGTGTGTGTGTGAGGCGCTGCTTAGTCCGCTTCGGCTGTTTGGGTTGTCGGCTCTAGTTTGCTGTTGTCAATTCGTAGGCCCGCGCCCCAGACTTACGACACGCCGTGTGCGCTTTCGCCCGCGGCCGCGACCAAAAAAAGTGTGTGTGTGTGTGTGTGTGTGCCAGCCGATTTTTTCGGACAACCCTCTGGGCCTGCCGGCGCCGCGACCTCTCTGCTGCAGCCTCTGCGCTGGCCTCGCCGCCGCTGCCGGCCTTCGGCCTCCGCCCGCCTCGCCCTGCCCTTTTTGCCTGCCGTCTGGCCCTGGCATCGCTGTCTTGGCATCGCTCGGACGTGTGCGTTTTTTCTCGGCGAGGACCATCGAGGAGCATTCTTGATCACTTGGCGAAAAACCCACGCACGAAACCGAAAAAAGCACAGGGAATGGACGTCCGAGCGATGGCCAGCTGTAGTTTTGTGAAAGTCGATTCATGGAGAGGAAGCGTGCTGCCAAATGATTTCCAGATGTTTAAAAAGTGTTCAAACATGTGGTACATATGTAAAAAACGTGCTTGAAACATCGTTAGCACACGTCTTGCACATTCTAAGCACACTTCTAGTTCAATGATCGGATTGTTAGAGTGTCCACTGTCACGGCATCCACAACTGTAGTTCCACTGCTCCCCCTTGCGCCCCCGGCGTGCCGTTTCCTGGCCAGCTGGCGCTGCGCATCTCGTCTGGCTCCCCCTCCTCCTCCTCCTCCTCCTCCTCCTCCTCCTCTCCTCCTCCTCCTCCTCCTCCTCCTCCTCCTCCTCCTCCTCCTCCTCCTCCTCCTCCTCCTCCTCCTCCTCCTCCTCCTCCTCCTCCTCCTCCTCCCTCCTCCTCCTCCTCTTCTCCTCCTGCTCCTCCTGCTCCTCCTCCTCCTCCTCCTCCTCTCCTCCTCCTCCTCCTCCTCCTCCTCTTGCCTCTTGCCTAACTGAGGGGCGGTGTCCACATGGCGGAGCCCCTAATGATAAAAATTGGAGGGGGCCCATCGATGTTTGTCACTCACCGACTGGGCTGCGCTCCACCCAGCCAATGAGCCGCGGCAGGGCCCCCTCCCCAGTTCAAAAATAAGCTGCTGGGGGCGGGAGCTCCATCTGGGGTTCAGGCTCGGGCCAGGCCTGGATGTCCCTCGGGAGCCTACCCGCTTCCAGCGCTTTGAGAATCTTCCCCCCATGCTTCGAGATCTTCTGAAGACACGATTTAGACAGATTTTTAAAGGTTGTGGTAGCGTAACTCCCACAATCGCGACACCAGAAGACGCCTCTGAATCTCTGGAGATGCCGATGGGAAGAGTGAATTCTAGCAGGGAGCCCAGGGCACTCGGAGCGGAGCCAACTCTCCGCCGTCCCCGACGGGGACGTGAGGCATTTGGAACACTTCAAAGGCAATTCAAGCCGATCGATCAGGCAATGAGAAGTGGCCGCAGTGAGTTCCGCCAACAGCTCACGCTTGGCCAGCTTACGTCTCTTGCCTTCACGTTTCCGATCCTCAACACTGCTGGCGCCATACATCTGAGACGCATTCGTGGCGATGTGGTGAGAAACCGTCAAAATATGCTCCTGGACTCCTCTGCTCAGGGTATCAATCCTAACAACTTCAGCTATGGCCCAAGCTGGAAGTTGGGCTTCCTTGGCGGCCTGGTCGGCCAGCTTGTCTGCAATAAAATCCTCCTCCTCCTCCTCCTCCTCCTTCTCCTCCTCCTCCTCCTCCTCCTCCTCCTCCTCCTCCTCCTCCTCCTCCTCCTCCTCCTCCTCCTCCTCCTCCTCCTCCTCCTCCTCCTCCCCCCTGGCCGTCCGTGCCCCGATGGCCCACGGCCGGCCACGGCGCTGCTCGCTCGGAGCGGCTCGAGGGCTCGGCCGCCCGTCGCGCGGGCGCGCGTCTTCTTCTCCGACTTTGGACTTGGCATCGCTCGGACGTTCGAGGAGCATCCTCGACCATCTGGAGCATCCTCGACCATCTGGCGAACAAAAACATGCACGACACCGAACAAAAACAAGGAAATGGACGTCCGAGCGATGCCCAGTTGGACGCCCTGTCGATGCGCGCGGGGCCGCGACGCCAAGCAGGTCTGTGCGTGCGTGTTCTGTTCCGACCGTTTCGGTCCCTCAGAGTGGTCCTCCCGCCGCAGCGCTGGCTTCGTATCCGCGCTTCTGGTCCTTCAAAAAGCCTCACTCCCGCGGAAGCGCTGGCCTCATGTTAGGATCACTGCTTTGCTCTCGTCGTTCAGAACAGCTCCGGCCCCAGCGCGGGCCACCTCTCTTCTGGATCCGGGTCATTCCCCATCGCTGTCGCCCCGCTCCTTTTCCCTCCCCCGCCTTCCCCTGGTCATTCTGCTCAGCCAGCTTCTCCCGCTCTTGCTCCTGCTGCTGCTTTTCCTCCTCGTCCTCCCTCCTCCTCCTCGTCCTCCTCCTCCTCGTCCTCCTCCTCCTGTTCCTTCTCCTCCTTATCCGCCACATCCTCCTCAAATGTACGCAGCTCCGCGTTTCCGATTGCGCATAACACGATGAGATCTTTTTTGCAGTTCCATGTCCGCTATGACACGCGTCGGTGGATAGAGAAAACAGCGCAATGAGAAGGGGTGGGTGGGAGGGGTAGGATATCAGATATGGCCGGAGCGCTCCTGGCTTGATCGACCCCACTCCTCCCTTCCTCCTCTTCCGCCCTTCCCTTCTCCTCCTCCCGCTCCTTCCGTTTCCTTCTCCTCCTCCTTCGTCCCCCCCCCCTCCTTTCCCTTCCCGGAGATCCGACGTAGCGAAAAAATTGCAACATCGTAGACAATCACGCCCGGAGCCTTAGACCCTAGCTTTCTGCTTAATTTTTCGAGACGGATAGATCTGTGAGGGTCCCAGGTCCCGAAAAAAGGCGGAACGGCTGGCTCGAAACAATTAACACGCCCGAGTCTCAGGGTCCCTCCTTCGTCCCCCTCCTCCCTTCGGGTTCCTCCCGCTTCCTCGCCCAGACGCAGCAGGCCCAGGGGTCGCTATCCAGCTGGACCCCGAGCTCATGAACATGCTCTTCCGCCGTAGCAGGCGCGCGCACCGCTGTCGGCGAGAAGGTGGTGAGGCCGGGAGGCGAGAGGGGGAGGGGGAAGCAGAGACGAGGAGGAGGAGGAGGAGGAGGAGGAGGAGGAGGAGGAGGAGGAGGATCGAGGAGGAGGAGGAGCATCGAGGAGGAGGAGGAGGATGAGAAGAAGGAGGAGGAGGAGGAGGGACGAGGGAGGATGGAGTGAGTGAGGGAGTGAGGGAGTGAGGGAGTGAGGGAGTGAGGGAGGGATGGAGGGACCTGGACTGATGCTCACGCGCCTGGCCTGGTGCCCACCTGCACTAAAGTGGGCCGGGTTAAGGGGCCGCGGTTCAGCCAGGGAGGGGCGCAGGGGTGGAGGTGTGGAGGTGTGGAGGAATGGAGGGAGGGAGTACGATGAGGCGGAGGCGGCAGAGAAGGCGGAGGAGGCGGTGGATGAGGATGAGGATGAGGATGATAATGAATATGATGAGTATAATGATGACGATGATGATGCTGCTGCTGCTGCTGATGATGATGATGGTGATGTTTTAAGTTGATGCTGATTCTGCTGCTGATGATAATAATGCTGATGATGCTGATGCTGATGCTGCTGCTGATGATGCTGATGCTGAGGATGAGGATGACGATGATGATGAGGATGATGATGATGATGTTGATGTTGCTGCTGCTGTTGCTGCTGATGATGCTGCTGCTGATGCTGCTGATGATGCTGCTGCTGATGAGGAGGAGGAGGAGGATGAGGAAGAGGAGGAGGAGGCAGGAGGGTGAGTTCCGTTGAGGCAGAAGCAATTGATCATTATTTGTATTCAGCGAATTTGGCCTTGTCTCTTGCTCGGTCTCCGATAGGACTCCGATACCTGAAGGTGGCCCCGAGATGACCCGACAGGGCCCTACGATGGGCCCATCTCGCTCCTGCTCCCGCCGCCGCCTACCCCCCTGGGCCCGGCCGCAGCCGCGGGACGCTCCCAAGGAGGCGCCTCCGCGACATCAGGGCGATGTGCCACGCGGGCCTCAAGCTCGACCGGGTGCGCAACACCCTGCACGTGACCGGCACCCCCGAGGCGATCGAGGCGCACCCGCCCAGGGAGCGCCTGGGTGCGGGGAGCTCCACCCTCCTTGGCCAAAGCCGTGATGATGGTTCTTGTGGTAACGACGATGTCGATGAAGATGGAGATGGAGATGATGATGATGACGATGACGATGACGATGACGATGACGACGATGATGGTGATGATGATGGATCTGACGAATCTCATGGTGATGATTATGATGCTGACGACGCTGATGCTGATGATTGTGAGGACGATGATGATGACGATGATCATTATGATGCTGACTATGATGATGACGATGATGATGCTGATGATGATAATGATGATGCTGATGATGATGATAATGATGATGATCATGATGATGATGATGATGATGATGATCATGATGACGATGCTGATGAGGACGATGATTACGACGAAGATGATTATAATGACGATGATGCTGATGACGATGATGATGATGATGATGATGAAGAAGATGATGTTGACGAAGACGCTGATGATGCTGCTGATGATTATGATGGTGGTGATTATGGTGATGCTGATGCCGATGATGATTCTTCAAATGATGATCACGATTGTGCTGATGATGATGATTATGTTGCTGCTGCTGATGATGACGATTATGCTGATGATGCCGATGCTGATGAGTATGATTATGATGTTTATGCTGACGGTGGTGACGAGTTTGGTGCTGGTGGTGGTGGTGATTCCGATATTTTCGTTGCCGTTTGTGATCACGACATCGTTGTTGCTGTTGATGATGGTCATGGCAGCGATATTGATGCTGCTATTGATTATCATGCTGATGCTCATGACGACAATGCCGATGACGATGATGATGGTGACGATGAAGATGATTGTGATGATGGTCATGATGACGATGATGATGCTGTTATTGATGATGATGCTGATGATGGTCACGATGCTGATGCTGCTGATGATGATGATGGTGGATCTGGCGGATCCCATGGTGATGATTATGATAATGACGATGATGATATTTCTGCTACATGTAGGTGATGATGATGACGATGATGATGATGATGATTGTGATGATGCCGATGCTGATGATGGTGATGCTGATGATGATGATGATGATGCTGATGATGCTGATGATGACAATTTCGATGGTGATGCTGATGATGATCATGACGGTGATGATGATGCAGACTATGATGATGATGCGGATGATGCTGATGATCATGATGATCATGTTGATGTCGACTATGATGACGATGATGAGGTTGATGTTGTTGATGATGATGATGATGATGATGATGATGATGACGATGGTAGTGATGATGATGCTCATGATGACGATGCTGCTGATGATGATGATGATGATGATGATGATGATGATCATGGTAATGTCGACTATGATGATGACGATGATGATGATGCTGATGATGATAATGCTGCTGATCATCATGATGACGATGATGATGAATAAGAAGATGATGTTGACGAAGACGCAGACGATGCTGCTGCTGATTATGATGGTGATGATTATGGTGGTGCTGCTGCCGATGATGATTCTGCTGATGATGATGACGATTCTGCTGCTGATGATGATGATGATCATGTTGCTGCTAATGATGATGACGATTACGCTGATGCTGATGCTGATGCGTTTGAGTATGATTACGATGTTTATGCTGACGGTGGTGACGAGTTTGGTGCTGGTGGTGGTGGTGATTACGATATTTTTGCTGCCGTTGGTGATCACGACATCATTGCTTCTGCTGTAGATTTCTGTCGGTGGTTGATGTTTAGGACAGCGATAATCCTGCTGCTATTGATTATCAGGCTGATGCTCATGACGACGATGTCGATGACGGTGGTGACGGTGACGATGAAGATGATGGTGATGATGGTCATGATGACGATGATGATGCTGTTATTGATGCTTCGATGATGATGACGATGCTGCTGCTGATGATGATGATGATGATGATGATGGACCTGACGAACCTCATGGTGATGATTCTGATGCTGACGATGAACATATGGATGAGAATGAAGGTGATGATGATAACGATGCAGATGATGATGGTGATGCTGTCGATGCTGATGATGGTGATGCTGACGATGATGATGATGCGGATGATGAAGACGATGCATCTGATGACGCTGCTGATGATTATGACGATGATGATGCCGACTATGATGATGCTGATGATGATGCTGATGATGACGATGATGATGCTGCTGATGATGATGACGACTGTGATGATGACGATTCTGATGATGATGATGGAGCTGCTGATGATGCTGATGATGCTGATGATGATGCTGATGATGATACTGATGATTCTCATTCTGATGATGATGATGCTGATGACGATGACGACGACGATGCTGATGATGATGATGATGACGATGATGGTGAAGAGGACGACGACGATGGTCATGATGATGTTGATGACGATGATGATGATGATGCTGATGCTGATGCTGATGATCAATATGATGATGATGCTGCTGATGATGATGCGGCATATGATGATGATTATGGTGGTGATGATGGCCATTGTGACGATGTTGATGCTGATTATGATGATTGTGGCTGTGATTGTGACGATGATGATGATGCTGCTGATGCTGATGCTGATGATGGCGATGATGACGGTGTCGATGATGATGACGATGATGACGATGACGATGATGATGCTGATGACGACGATGATGATGATGATGATGATGATGATGATGATGATGATGATGATCATAGTGATGATGATGATGATGATGATGATGATGACGATGACGATGATGATGATGGTGATGATGATGACGATGATGATGATGATGACGATGATGATGATGATGGTGATGATGATGCTGATGATGATGATGATGCTGATGATGATGATGATGGTGGTGATGATGATGATGATGATGCTGATGCTGCTGATGATGATGATGATGTTGTTGTTGTGGCTGTTGTTGTTGTTGTTCTTGTTGTTGTTGTTGTGTTGTTGTTGTTGTTGTTGTTGTTGTTGTTGTTGTTGTTGCTGCTGCTGTTGTTGTTGTTGTTGTTGTTGTTGTTGTTGTTGTTATTGTTGTTGTTGATGATGATGATGATGATGGTGGTGGTGGTGGTGGCGATGATGATGATGATGAGGAGGATATGAGGAGGAGGAGGAGGAGGAGGAGGAGGAGGAGGAGGAGGAGGAGGAGGAGGAGGAGGAGGAGGAGGAGGAGGAGGAGGAGGAGAGGAAGAGGAGGAGAGGAGGAGGAGGAGGTGGAGGAGAAGGAGGAGCAGGAGGAGGAGGGAGGAGGAGAAGGAGGAGGAGGAGGTGGAGGAGGAGGAGGAGGAGGAGGAGGAGGAGGAGGAGGAGCGGGAGAGGGAGGGGGAGGGGGAGGAGGAGGAGGAGGAGGAGGAGGAGGAGGAGGAGGAGGCGAGGAGGAGGAGGAGGAGAGGAGGAGGAGCAGCAGGAGCAGCAGGAGCAGCAGCAGCAGAACAGCAGAAGCAGCAGAGCAGGAGCAGCAGCAGCAGCGGAGGAGGAGGAGGAGGAGGAGGAGGAGGGGCTGAGGAGGAGGAGGGAGAGGAGAGAGAGGAGGGAGGAGGAGAGGAACAGAGGAGGGGAGGGGAGGAGGGGGGAGGAGAGGGAGGAGGAGGAGGCGGGGAGGAGGATGAGGAGGAGGAGGGGGGAGAGGAGGAGGAGGAGGAGGAGGGAGGAGGAGGAGGAGGAGGAGGAGGGAGGAGGAGGAGGAGGGGAGGCAGGAGGCGGGAGAGGAGGAGGAGGAGGAGGAGGAGGAGGACGGGCGGAGGATGAGGAGGAGGCTATGAAGGAGGGGGGAGGCCGAGACTTGCACCGTACGCTTGGGCTGGGGCTCGGCCGTGCTGGAGAATCGAGCTCTGCTGCTAGCCTCGTCTGCCCAGTCCAGGGAGGGGCTCCTTCCTGGGCGGTGGGCATGGCCCCACGCGCGTGGTGTCTTCAAGTGAGCGTGTGTTCGAGTGTGTGTGTGTGCGTGTGTGTGTATATATGTGTGTGATGTCGCCTTGCCACGCGCTTCACGAGGGAGCGACCTTAGTTAGTTGCTGGCATCCCACAGCTTTAGCCGCTTGTTGGACTCACTGGTGCGTCGGAGGAAGAAGTTTGTGTGTGTGTGCGCGTGTATGCGCGTGTGAGAGAGAGAGGGAGAGAGAGAGAGAAACAAAAAAGGAAAACAAACAAAATAATGTGTGTGTGTGTGTGTGCGTGTGCGTATGTGTTCCGAAGTGTTCTCGCTTGAGTGCCCCGCCGCGCGCTTCCCCCGCTGCTCCGACTTGCTCCGCCTCGTCGCCGCGCGGACAGCCAAGACTGCGCATGTGTGTCTGCGGGTGCGCGTGCGCGAGCGCCGCTCGCCCCAGGCTGTCCGCAGCCAGCTGGCGCACCTCGGCGGGCCCGTCAAGCCGCTGCCCGCCCCGGTGTGGATGGAGCTGATGCGCACGCGCACGCTGACATCGGGCCCTCAGGCGGGCTTCCCTGGGAGAGCGAGAGCATCGCGGGAGGGCCGGTCGGGGCAGCGGCGGCCTTCCCCGGCGTCGTTTTTTCCCTCCTCCTGCGGGGCCTCCCGGAGACTTCTCGTCGCCGTGGCCGGGGTCCGCGTCGAAGGAGTGTGCATGATGTGGTGGAAGTCGGTCAACGGATAGGAAGCATGTTGCCAAATCGTTTCCAGATGTCTAAAACATGTGTTAAACATGTCTTAAACATGTAAAAACATGTTTAGAACATGCTTAGAGCATGTTTCCGACATTTTGAACACATGTGTAATTCAATGACAGGATCGTTCGAGTGTCCATTGCCGTGGCATCCACAAGCATGATGAGGCCCCAGGAGGGCCGGGTGGTCGAGCCGGAGCGGATCCGGGCCTGGCGGGCGAGCCGCCGTAGTTTCAGCGGGCCTCTTTTTTTTTTTTTCTCCGCGGGGAGGGTTGGCAGGGCTCACCGATTGCAGTCGGCTCGCTGATCTTCAACACCCTACTATGCCATGTGATGCTATGCCATGCTGCGGCTTCCGATTGTGCGAACAGAGAGGGGATCCGCGCCACGGTAAGGGTTGGCACGGCTCACTGATTACCGTCGGCCTTGATTGGGCAGGACGCGCGAGAGTCACCACCCACCGAACCACCCCAACCCAAGCCGAAGGCCCAGCTTGACCCTCGATTTCCAGTGGGGGGGGGGTCGAGGAATATCGAAAAAACACGTGTGGAACCCGTACCCCCCCAACCCGAAACTTGGGTCTGCGGGTTAGGTTGGGGTGATTTGGTAGGTAGTCAGAGGGGACACAGGACCCTTCCGAGGGCCACAGCCCCACAGGAGTGTCAGAAGGCACGCGCCGCGAGGCAGAGGACACGGGGGTGCCCTGGAGCTGCCAGGGTCGACCTACTGATCCGGGCCGACTGTGCCACAGCACCCCGGCCCAGCCCGAAGGTCCCAGGCCCTCCCGAATTTCGGGCGGGGGCGGAAAAGAGGGGGGGTGATGACTAGGGGGGGGTGGATGTCATGGCGTGGGCCATGATAATTCCCCAGATTTCATGGCGCCTTCTCTTATTTCATTACGTCCCTGGCCCCCCCTTTGGGCCGCGCACATGCCGCCGGCCATGATGATTTGCACCCCCCCCTCTTGGACGCCCCCCTCTTGGCCGCCCCCGAATTTCGGGTGGATGTTCTGGAGTGCCCCCCCCACCAGAAATGGACGATCCCAACGGTGGCTCCGGGTTGGGTTGGGGTGACTTGGTATGCAGTCAGTGGCAGCGCTGGTGTTGTTTGTTGCTCCTCATCCTCCTCATCCTTCACCCTGGCCCCTTCCCAGCGGTGGTGCTGCCGAGAAAGAGACCCTCCAACCCGCTGAGGGTACGAGTGGATCGCATGGGTTGACATGCGAAGGGTTGGCGTGTCCGATTCGCCATGGAGGCGTCGGTGTTTGTGCTTGGTATGAGGTAAGCCAGGTGCCAGGAAAACCAACGCTGCCGTAATCATGCAGGCCAGAGCGACAGTGCCGCCGATGGGACTGGGCGCGGCCAGCAAAGGCTTGTTTCCCTTTTCTGTCTGGGTCCAGGGGCTGCGGCCCGCAGACCGGAGAGATCGGGAATATGGATGCTTGCGTCTCTGAGTGCAGGCCAAGCGGCACCGTGTGTGCGCGGGACGGGTCTTGCAGAGTAGTTAGACTGTGCGTGGGTACGCGTGCACGGGTAAGAACTTTGAATAGCGTGTTGGCGCGACACGCTATCCGCTTCCCAGCCTCCTGGCGTGAACGTCCCGAGCCTTTCCCAGCCTCCCGCCCCGCGGAGCGGAGCGACACGCTGTCCGCTTGCACGGCATAGCGTATCGCGGGGGCTGCCCCAGCGACACGTTGTCCAAAAGTTCCTGACCATGCGCGTGAGCTCCATGGATGTCATCCATGGAGCTCACGCGCCTTTTCAGCGGCCGTGGAGAGGGCGACGCGCGTGCGATCCGCCCCGTGGGTGTCCGCCGCGCTGGCGACGCACTCACCAAATTGCCCCCTTGCGAGGGCGACGTGCACGTTCGAGAGGGCGGCTGGTCTTTTCGGCGGCCGACGCACGGGCGGCGCACGTGCGACGGATGCGCGACGCACCTCCTGTCGCGAAGGGGGGGGTCAGCACGCCGGTCGTCTTACTGGGCCTTACCATTGGATGAGACGGTGACCCTGTTGTTGGATTGTCATTGGCCGCATGCTGTGCAGGCGTGGTTGCGTGCGGCGCGCGGGCTCCTCTGCGGGGTCTCGTTGGGACGGGTGGTGTCCTATGATTGAGCCAGCGTGCCACATCGTTCCCAGCTGCATCGTCAGGAGGAGGACGACGAAAACGAGGATGACGGCGACGATGGCGAGGAGGAGGAGGACGACGACGATGATGATGAGGAGGATGATGATAATGCGGAAAACGAAGAGGAGGAGGAGGAAGAGAAGGAGAAGGAGGAGGAGGGGAGGTCGAGGATAATGGGAGAAACGAGGAGTGAGAAAGGAGGGAGGAGGAGGAGGAAGGAGAGGAAGAGGAGGAGGAGGAGGACCAATGCAAACCCAGTTTGCGTCAACGATGTTGTAGTATACCCTCGCTCCAATCCCCCTTCGCATGTCCCTACAAATTTTCACTGCTGGGAGTGCCTCTTTGGAAGACACCGTCTGAGAATCCTCAGTTGTGCCAGCGCACAACTCTTTGGACTTCAACGCCGCGAATCAACTTTACTGCTGCGCCCTGACGATCCTAGATCGTGCCAGAGCACCCTTCCTGGGATTTCAACACCGTGAATCAACGCGACGGTTGCGCCCTGACATTTCTAAATCGTGCCAGGGCGCCATTTCTGGGACGTCAGCCATAATAACCTCGCTAAGCTGATGTAACATTTTACGTAAGGCGAATGTGCGTGGCGCTAGGGCGAAAGCCTCATTCTGAACAGGACCCCGAGGAGGGGGGATGAGGAGAAGGAGGAGGAATATGAGGAGGAGGAGGAGGAGGAGGGGGAGGGGGAGGAGGAGGAGGAGGAAGAGGAGGAGGAGGAGGAAGAGGAAGAGGATGAGGAGGATCAAGAGGATCAATGATTGAGGGAAATGGGGACGCAGTGTCCCGCAGAGGGGCCTTAAGAGTCCGCAGGAGGGCCCTCCCTGGAGCCCAGCCCTGACACCCCGACGCCAGCATGCAACACGCTTTGGGCGTGCGTGACATGCTTGGACATGCCCGCATGGCTCGGGTGCTGGCCACGGTGGATTCGCCAAAGGCTCTCGTGACCTGTCTTGGTGGGTTTGCGAGTGCAGGGTAGGGCAAGACCCTGGACTCTCACAGATGCCGCCAGGCCGCAAATTTTACAAACATGCAAGCGTTGATCGGGCCTGTGGTATAGCTCGTGTAAGCCGTCGAAGCGTTGGGTGCCAAGGAGAGCTTACGAAGTCCATTTGTTGATGTCTCTCCTGATACCTACCCCTCCTCCAACCCTCAGGGCTGGGAGGGAAACACACCCCGACACGGTCGCCTCTTCCACGCGATCCCAGGAAACCAGGAACCACACGAAGAGCACAGCCAGCTGCCCCCCTGGACGGGTATCCGGGAGTGCTGGCTGGCTGCCAAGGCTCGGCGGAGGCTTTGGCTGAGAAGCGGCACGTGCCCTGGGAGGCCTGTGGGCTTCACAGGCGTCGACGGCAAGCGTGTCGATGAGAGCTCTACGGGCTCGGAGGCGCACCTATGCTGCGATGACGTCCCAGACGTCGATCTGAGGGACCGTCCCGACCACGACCACCACCCGCTCCCAGGCCTCAGAGGCCGCAACCCCAGCCAGAGCGTCAGCGCAGGCGTTCCCCGCGGCCCTAAATGCGGCCAGGTGAGACCAGCTTACTCGGATCCTCATCCATGTGGGACGGGATCCACTCCACTGGACCTCGTCGGCCCCGAGGGCCCCCCCATCTGGATTTGAGAGCCTTCTTCATGCGGCCCCAGAGGTCCCCATTGAGCCTCAGTGGCGGGGTCGTACTCAGGGCAGCCGCAGTTTGCAGGACACGACCAGATCCTGTGGAAAAGCGTTTCCTTCTCCAGGCCGCGCCTCGAGCAGAGGGTGGAGTCCAGCTCGCAGCCTGCCAAGTGTTGGCGTTCGCGCAGTCACTGCCCGCCAGACACCACCACCAGGTTCTGGCTGTAGAGGTCCATCTGCCCTTTTGCGATGAAGTGCTGCTGCTTCTTGGCGAGCATCATGGTGTCAACCCCCTGCTCCAAGTCCTCGCCGTCCACGTGCTTGCAGGCCTGCTCCCACAGTAGCAGCTTGACAGCCTCGACGAACTCCACCTGAACGGCGGACGTGGCCATGTCGGGGTCCTGCATCGCCGGGAGCAGCCACTGGGTGCGGTCCGAAGTTGTCTAGCTTGTGGCCGAGCTGGATGTCCAGCCGACGTACAGCAGCAGTGCGATGACGGCAGCCGTGCGGCCGCAGACCACCCCATTTGCCCTTAGCTCCAGCACGCAGGAGCTTGTCATGAAGGCTGGGCCATGTCAGCTCGACCCTGCGGTGGAACCTGTGGCGCGCGCCTCCAGAGGTCCAGCCACTCGCCCAACAGCTGGCGGTGCAGCTCGATCCCGGGCTCCTCGTCGCCGTGGAGCCCAGGATGCTTGTCAAGCACCTGCCTGGGCCGCGCCCTGCCGCAGCCACCCCGGCAGCCCTCCGCAGCTTGAGGATGGCGGAAAGGGGCCAGCTCTAGGGCCTGGTGCCCGTAGGTGGCCTTCGGCTGGGCTGCCGCCGACCACAGCGCCTTGGTGAGCCTGCTGGGGCGCACGTGCTGGCGCATCCGGGCGATGCGCCTGTGCTGCGAGTGCGCAGCCTTCTTTCTGGTGGCAGCCTCGCGCTGGGGCCGCGCTCGGCCACTAGCGACGTCAACTCCCGGGCCGAAGACCCTGGTGGCGGTCCTGCAAGGTACGCACCGACGCCGAGGTGCACGCTGCAAGTCTCGTGCCAGGGGAGGGTTGCTGGAGATG